CGGCGGGCTTTCACCCACGTGTCTCTCACCTCTCCAGAGCCTGGGACAGTGATCCAAATCAACTAATTGAATTACTGTCCCCAATTCAGGCCAAATCCAAATCGAATATGGCCCATTTCGCACACCCTTATAGTGAAATGCGGTGTCCAGTTAAGGTGAATTCTAACTGGAACAGGGCTATTAGGATGATCAGGGGAATAAGGTGTTTTTTGTCTTGTTTAGCTGTGCAAAAAAAAGGCGGGAAGCATTACCATTTTTGTCTTTTTGTCTATTTTGTCAGTAAATTTTGTCTGTTGTAGGGCTACAATAGGAGGGTAAACATAAGGCAGGGAAAATAACTATATAACTTGAAGGTAAATATTGATCCAAGAACAGAGAAATAAACTGCCCGTGAGTAAACTTAGGAAATTAGAAGAAAGTGTCTAAACATCAAAGCAATGAGATTCTGGAACAGTCTTCTAGTAGTAGAAGTATGATGAGAAACTTAATGTAGGATCTGACCAGTTTATTAATAGCTGGGGACTAGACTTGATGGCCTGTTTCAGTTCTGTGTTCCTAATAATGATAAAGGTGGTTTTGGAAATATACTGTGGCATCTGTAGCTCAACTTCTAAGAATTGTAATATGACTTCCAAGAAAACTTAATATCTTAACTCGGTGATTCTCAGCCAGAGTTCAGCAGCACTCTGAGCTGACTTCCTTTCAATGAGGAGCCGTGAAATCTTAGTACTGTCTAGGCGTATGAACATGATTCACAGAATAAACCCAGAGATTTCAAATATGAATCCATAGAGTTAAAGTTGTGGTTTTTCTGAGATCTTTGCAACAGAAATTTTTCTCTATTATCTTTCTGCAGTCAAAAAATAGTGAAAGCGAAGAGCTGCCATTTTCTCTGGGGTGTCTTGAATCTATTGAGGGGTGCCTAAAAAGGTTGAGAACCACTGGCCTAACATTTAAAGTGGCTGCTACCTCTGTTTGGTTGTGTATCTCAGGTAGCGTTTTCCTCCTGATTTACTATGGTGCTTTATAATTAATCTTCTTCCTTCTCTCTATGTCCCTTGCAGTGCTGTTTCTTCAGTCCCATAGCACTTCTAAAGCACTGGAACATAGGATTAATCAGATTTGAGGGATTTTTTTCACCTTTATTTTGCACTGTTTTTTTAGTTTTCTACCTCTTCAATAATTCAATACTGCCCACTGGTAATCTTCCTCCTTCAGTCATTGTAGTTGTATAATTAGTAATGTAGTGCATTTTCTTCCCATTCCTTCTGATATGATTGTTCTTTTGCAGATTTTATTTTGGGAGGTTGGCTTACTGAGGATATAACTTGTGAAATTGTGGAGTTGTTTATCTTTTGTCTTTCATAGCTGGAGCTTTCTATTTGGATGGGGATTTTCAACCAGAGAATGTTGCTATGGGTTTTAAGATAATGTGTGGCCTTTGAGTACCATCTGCTTTGTATGTTGTCTGACATTTTTTCTGGATTAATACGTGAAGTAAAGTCATTGATCAAGGAACAGAGTCTCCCTGGCAACAGTAGTGTTTATTAGATTTATACCCTTTGTCCTTATTAGAAGATATTAACATTGTTTAGGTTGCAGATGTTTTGTAAGTTTCATTAATAAAGAGAATGTGGCTGAGTTGATTATATTAGTCATAATATGGTGCCCAGTAAGTATTCAAGTTCTGTGATTATGGATATGCAACAAATTATGTAAATATGTGGTATTTTGACAGCTAGCTTCTTGGTAGATGCAATTATAATACTTTGTCAATGTGTTTTCCGTAATAAAATGAAGGAAGAATGTGATGATTAATAAACCAAAATATTAAAAAGTAATTTTCTATGTCTGTTTTGGAAAAAAAATAATTTAGTTATATAAAATAATACTACATTCCACTTCAGTTTCTGATTTTTTTTTTTTAATTTAATTTTGTTTTACAGTTATTTCAAGATTTCTGGATACCGAACAACTTCTTTCAGTTTTAGTACAACTCCCAAAGCAGGACACAGTATGTTTATAAATATATCTGCCTTAACAATTATTCTTTAATTTTCAGTTATCTTTACAGTTAAAGTTGCCAAAATATGGAATGGGCTTCCAAGGGAGGTGGTGCTTTCTCCTATCTTGGGGGCATTTAAAAAGAGATTAGACAAACATCTGGCTGGGCTTATTTGACCCCAGTGCTCTTTCCTGGGCAGAGCAGGGGGTTGGACTCGATGATCTTCATAGTTTCATAGTTTGTAGGGTCGGAAAGGACCTGAGCAG